TGAACAGGAAGGGTTGCATCTTGTTATCAATATTGCCCATTAACAACTGTACTGCATGTTCTTCTTCAAGTTGCTGCTCACATTTCATACTTAGATTTCGCCAGCGAGTGATGTATTTTGTCACTGATTTTTCTCTTTTTCTTTTCTCCAGAGCGATGTCAGCGATCGTAATCTTTTCAGTTGCATTAGCAAACCTCTTCACGAACATATTTTCCAATTCTATGAAGGTCTTCATAGAATCATTCGGCAGTTCAGCATACCATTCGAAAGCAGTTGCCGTCAAACTGCTGACGAATTTTCGGAAGAGTAGGGCAGCATTGCCTCCTGTGTTTCCGTAGGTAGCTTTAAACTGTGCCAGGTGCTGTCTGGGGTTGTTATTATCATTGAAAGTGTTGAACTTTGGGACCGAATACCCTTTCGGGTACGACACTTGGTCGTATTCAGCAGGATACGGATGACCTTTGCCCACCAATTTTTCTGCTTGATCAATAGCTATAATTGCCCTGATCCTTTCTGTGATGATTCCTTCCAACTATGCAGCAGTCACTGGTTCGGAAGTACTTGCAACATTTTGTGGAGTGGGCTGACAGATGACATTATGAGCCTCGTGACCGGATGTCACGCCCAAATCCATTCTTCCTTCTCTTCTATATTCCTTCTCATTCCTTCGAGGCTTTGGCCTCCAGACTTACTTTCCTTTCCTCCGGGACCTTTCAGCAGCGGATCCCTGAACAGATGGTTCAGGTGTCACGCCCCGATGTTCACCGCGTGGGACATATTTCCTTTCTTTCCTCTCCACCGCAACAGATAAGCTTTCTCTTGGTGGAGTCCTCTTGGATTCGACCATTAGTGGTCGTTGGTATTTTCTTTTATTCAATCCTCGCTCTTTTACAGTCTTCAGAACCCTATATACCCAGGCCAAGAGAGTTTCAGGTTCTTTCCTCTTTGGAGGAGCTGGGACTTCAGGCTGCTGGTCCCAAAATGATTTCTTCAGCTCACCAGTGGAGCTGTTTCTCTTCACCCATTTCAAATTTGCGAATTCATTCCGGGTCGGAATGACAACTTCTGGCTCTTGGGCCGGCAGGTTAGAGGGATGGGCTGAGAATTGTTGTTGAGCCCGGAGCTCAGCATTTTTCTTTCTCCGTTGCCTCCTGGTGAGTCTTCCTCCAGATGAGGAAGCCTCGACATCATATTTCCCGGGTGCAAACAACCCGGTTGGCTGAGTAGCGGTGTTGGCAGTCACCATTGAGATTCTTTCATCAGCCACAATCCTCTTGGTAGCTGGGACTTCAGGCTGTGACAGCCTCTCAAACACAGAAATCCTCCCACGAGGAGTTTCAGCAGTAGGTCGTTGTACTGGCAGATGTACATGACCAGTAGGAGCTCCGGCAGTTCTTGCAACAACTGTAGGAAAATCAACACTACCAAATTGGATGGTAGCTCCAGTGTTTCCGGTCTCTATGACAGCATTAGCCAGTTGGATCCTGGCTCCTCGTCCCAGTTGGACGGTCATCGGCATGCTCTGTAGATCCATCTGCATAAATGAAAGGCAAGAGTTAGTAATCAGAATCTGATACATCACCCCGCACTTTCAAAATGCAGAGACTTGCACATAACACAAAAATAAGAGCAGATATCATTAGCAAGCAATTCAAATAATACAAATTTAAAAATCGCTAAATGCATATGAATTCGCTGAATGATCATTTTTAGAAAATTTAAAGTTTTGAACTGTTAAAGGATTATTTTGAAAGACCCAAAATTTTGAGTACAATTTGATATAGATGCTATTATAGCACTGAGACGACTAGCCAAAGATGGAAAGAGAAACCAAACCCCAGCGGAGTCGCCAGAAATCTGTGGGCTCCGAAAATTCGGCCCCGGCCTCCCCGCTCGCTTTTTCTTTTTTTATTCGGCGAGGAAGCTTTAACGGATATGTTCCGAGGTAAATTTTAAAAGGCAGATGGGTTTGTAGATAAGACACTACCTAGAGATTTCGCCCTCATTTTGCGAGGACTTTATGATCTGAGTTCTGGTTTCCTATAGGCGCAAGCCCCTATAGTTAATTACCCCTCCCAATAATGAGAGAGAACTTTCGATTAAGGCTAGTCGTCAATCAAATACATAGAGATACATGTTATCTAGCATATAATAGCAGCAATAGGTTTGGAAATTTGAATATTTTGAATATTGAAAATTTGGAAAGTTTGAAAATAGTTGAAAATTTGAAGCTTTTATATTTAAAATAGAAATTTCACCATCTAGCATTTAAAGCGGATGGTGGGGGAATGGATGATGGACCCGATCAAGATTCCATGGTTCCGCCGTCCCGGGCCATCATGGTCCCTGGTCTACTTAGTCAGAGGAGGTAGTCGACCCAACATGACAGAAGGATTCTTGTCGATAACCATGGGTTGCTTCGTCCAAGGGAACCTTGTAGATCTGGGTTGGATGTTTGTCTGAGGGGACAAATTTGAATCCACCTTAGCTAACAGAGGGCTTTGTGCCCTATCGATCATATCATATTGATTCATATCTCAAATATACTCTCTCTCTCTCTCTCTCTCTCTCTCTCGTCTTCTCTGGATCGGACAAAACCGATGGAGTTGCAGGTTGTTGGAGTCGGATGGGAGGAGGAGGAGGATGTCTGGTAAAGGCCGGAGATGGATCGACGGGAAGGCTGGAGGTCGGAGCAAGTCGGAGCTTCGTGAGAGAAGAGGGAGCCGTTTGCGATCGTGGAAGAGAGGAGAGAGTGTCGTGGGATCTCCGAATGAGGGGGTTGCCCTCTCGTTTTAAAGGCGCGATCCGGGATGCGATCAGAGACCGGTTTTTGCGTAGGAGCTGCGGAGATACGACGTGAACGGCGCTGAACGACAGGATTTGCGGCAGAATTTTGGGATCCATCGGGCAAGGTATGATTTTGAGCCCTTTTATTTTTTGGATATAGTATGTATGTCAATAAATAGGTAACGAGGGCATTAAAAGATTTTTATGAGAATTTGAAACAGTAGAAGGGGGAGTGACTACCATTTAGTAGAGAGAGGACTTAAGGGACTGTATTGAAGGGATAAAGGAAAAAATTAGAGGGTACACATTTATTAATTATTATCTTCTTATTAAAGTTAAATTTCATATTTTGTTGGGGGAAGGGGCACTTGTCCCCTTAAAATCGGCTTCTACAAATCCGTTCTGTGCCGCTCATTTTAACATTTCTTTTATGCATGTAGAGAATGAATAAATAAGGAAGCTAATAAAGTGACTTTATGTGATGATATCCAATGTACAATATAGATTAATGGAACTAGTTATAATTCATTCTTTTTAGGAGGATTTGAGCTTCTGGAATATATTTATAGCTAATATGGATATGGTTCGAGGAAAAAACTACTGAACTTTTTTTGCTTATTGTTAAGATGTTTTGCCATTGAATTTCTTTGTTCACAGGCTTCATTTCAAGCATCTGATAGTTGGTGATTCTGGAACACCAGCCATCCTAGTTAAGTGGTGGAGCCAAGATTTTTTTATGTGGGTGCACAAATTATTAATACTACAAAAACCCTCAAGCTTTTTCATCTGAGCTTGGGACTGACATCGGCGATTTTAAAAAATTGTTTGTTAGACTTTTTTTGTAAAAAAGATAAATTATGTAATAAAAAAACTTACAATCAAAATCACATGATATTTATATTTTTCCTGCATTACACCTACAATTTCTCCCAACAATCAAAATCACATGAAACATGATCGGAGACAAGGACGGCCAAAACTTCATCTGAGAGCATGGCCACATAGGCATGGAAGCGTGATGGGAGACGAGGACAGGCGTAAACTTTTTTTGCATTGGTGGCTGTTATGTTTTTTATCTGTGCTTATATATATAAAAGTTATAAAAAAAATTTAAATTTTTTTTTCCCGGCCATTGGGGGCATGTACCTCAGTGCCCCCACCGTGCCTCTGCCAATGCTAGTTATGGAGAAGTTTAATAGAAGATGCAAAAATATTCATGTGCATTGTGTGCTAAAGGGTTTTTGCATTATTTATGTTGTCATTGTGATTTTTTGAGAGGCTTATTGCTCGGAGTAAAGACTGGGATCTACATTTAGCATTTCCCTGTACAAATTTGCTTCTACGCTTTTACGAGTTATAGTAACTGTTGAAAGTTCTTTTCTCTGTTTTCTTTTGGATTCTGGTATTGGAGCTATGCTGTTTGTCTGATATTTATTTATCATGATCTGCAAAGCAGAAATATGATTTGTCTAAAGTCTCCCTAGTCCCTATTGCCCATATTAGTTTTTGTGGTCTCATCTATTCCATAGTTCTCATTAATACATTGCTGTATTAGTTTAAGATTGCTCTCTGTTGATATTGTGGATGTTTTCGATCCGCTGAGGTAGTTTTTGTCTATAACGGATTCCAGACTATACAATATGTCCCTGCCTATTGTTTATGGAAGTACTGCCAAATGTATCTTTGTTATTAAACCCTGGATAGGTCAGTTGTTATCAAACATTCTGGTTGTCCTTAATGAGAAATAAACTCGAGATACTTTCCTTGGCTGCAGTGGGTTGATGAATTTGTTAAGATGGGTATCTTACAATTGAGAATGTTAATATACTCCGTTTTTGAAGCCTTGTTTGAAGAGCCTCAATGTGAGCTTAAGCCAATGCAGGTTAAAGATGCATTATACCTTAACCTATGAGTGAGAACTTAATGAAATCTGTTACATATATTATGGTTTGGTGCTCTTCAATACACTCTTTCTTCAGGTAATATACTATCATTGTTTGATTTAAGTTGCTCAACAATGATTTCTACATACTGTTTAGCCATCTTTTTAGTTATTTAGTGCTTTAAACCAATGCTATTATTATCAAAAAAAAGTTTATTTAGCATCTGTTTTACATTTCTTATAAATAAATATTCTCTAATTCTTTAACATTTGTATATTTGTAAGCTTTTACCTGGATTTTTGTTTTTCTTTGAAGTCTATTTATCTGTTCCTTTGATTCTTTCAGATGGAAGATCAAGCACCATCAAGTTCTCATCTTATCGAAGTTAACATAGACGTCCCTTCTACTGTGGCTACTGTGAGTGGAAGCAAATTTTGTGGCGGTGCCATTTGTGATTTCTCAGACAGTAAAACTAACATAAAAGATGCTACAGAAAGATCTTCATCCATGCAAAAGCTTCTAATAGCAGTTCTTCTTTGCATAATATTCATGGCTGTAGAAGTCATTGGTGGCATCAAAGCAAATAGTCTTGCCATCTTAACTGATGCCGCCCATCTCCTATCCGACGTAGCAGCATTCGCTATCTCCCTGTTTTCTCTATGGGCCTCAGGCTGGGAAGCAACTCCACGCCAATCTTATGGTTTTTTCAGAATTGAGATTCTCGGAGCTTTGGTTTCCATTCAACTTATTTGGCTTTTAGCCGGCATTCTCGTTTATGAAGCTATACTCAGAATTATAAAAGACAGTGGTGAGGTTAACGGCTGGCTTATGTTCACAGTCTCAGCTTTTGGTTTAGTGGTTAACATCATTATGGCTATGATGCTGGGTCATGAACATGGCCATGCTCATCATGGTGGTCATGATGATCATGACCATTCTGACCATGATGACTCCCACGATCATGATCATGATGAAAATCATCATAATCACCACCATGAACATACGGAAGAGCACTTCCATTGCCATGGTGTCAGTGTCACTAGTCATAACCTACTCTCTTCAGAAGATTCAAAGGAACCTCTTCTAAATCACTCTGAAGCCAAATCTGTTTCAAAGGAAACCAAAAAACATGAGAAGAGAAACATAAATGTTCACAGTGCTTATCTCCATGTTCTTGGCGACTCTATCCAGAGTGTGGGAGTCATGGTTGGAGGAGCCATTATATGGTACAAACCTGAATGGAAGATCATTGATTTGATCTGCACACTGATATTTTCTGTGATTGTGTTAGCGACGACCATAAAGATGCTGAGGAACATTCTAGAAGTTCTAATGGAGAGTACTCCTCGAGAGATCGATGCGACTAGACTTGAGAAAGGACTTTGTGATCTTGATGGTGTTGTTGCCATCCATGAGCTTCATATATGGGCTATAACAGTGGGCAAGGTTCTGCTTGCTTGCCATGTGACGATAACACCAGAGGCTAACGCTGAGTATCTGCTGGATAATGTGATTGGATATATCAAAAGGGAGTATAACATCAGCCATGTAACTATTCAGATAGAAAGGCAGCAGTAGAAAGGCAGCAGTCATGTAAGTATTCTCATTGCTGGTCGTTCATTGCTTATTGCTATGAATCGGTTTGAGAATTTTCTAAGAGTAGGCGAAGTATAAAAAAATTGAGCTTTGCTTCTTACTAATAAATCTTAGATAATGATAAATAGGTGACTGCTAAAATTTTCTTACATTGTAATGAAACATTTTTATTTTTCTGCAATTTTATGATTAAAAATTCTTTAATTTTGATACTAGAATTTTTTTTTTTAAAGAATTCATCCTAGCTTTACTAATTAGTACTGATCATATTAAAAAAAAACAAAAAAACAGGAGATGGGAACATTATAAATGTTTGGCAGACATGATCTGAAGGTCTAGTCGTTCTATTAGCACTTTTGTTCGTTCTCTTGAATTTTATGAGTAATTTTAACCGAGTTTTGGCCCCAAACATAAAATTTAGAGTTTAAGGCTATGACTAAGGCTAGAAAGTTGCTTTAAGTAGTAAGAAAGCCATCCCAAACAAAACTTAAACCATGTTAAAAAATTTCACTCATTATGTTGCTAACAGTTGATTTCAATATCTCATAATGAACCAAATTGAGTTTTGGAAACATTAAGACTTTGTTTTGGAATATAGTTTTTTTACTGCTTTTAATACAAATTTTTAGTATAATTTTTTTAATTAGAAAATTTGTATTAAAAGTTGCTTTAGAAAGCTGTAAGAAACTTGTCTCAAACTAAGTTTTGTTTGGGATAGTTTTTTTATTGTTTTTTAAAATAATTTTTTAGTTAAAAAAATTCTAATTCAAAAAAAAAAAATTTATATTAAAAGTTGTTTCATAAAGCATTAAGAAAGTTATATCAAATGAAGCATAAGCCTTTTTTTTTTTTTTTAATTTTTAAAGGCTAAGCCTAATTATGTTTGAATTTATAGTTTTATTTGGGTAAAAAGCTCCTCTCGAATACAAAAATGAGTTTTTATGTATATTATTATTATTATATGCTTAGGCATGTATTGAAAAGTTCTTCTGATTGGAAAGGATGAAATTTTGAGTAGCACATGAGAGTAGACCATGCCGTGATGGATTGATGGTGAGGGAGTTCTTTCTATCTTGAATAAACGAAATAATTGGATTCTTTTTTTTTTTCAATTTAATTGTGTGCTCTATTTATGCCATATAATCCAAATTTTCAAAATAGATTTGATATCTTACGATTAATAGATATCTTTGAATTTGAGTAGCAAGAAGCGCCAAAAAAAAAAAAAACTAAGATTTGGTCCTCATTAGAAAATTTTCATGTCAGATAATAAATCTTCGAAAATGAGCTGGTTTGTGATGAATTGACTAAATTTTCCTTAGCTCACACAACATTATCCTCTAGCATGGGTTTGTTTGATAGGATAATTAACTATAATGAGCTGGTTTGATGATGAGATTGGAGAGGGTTCTCAGGAGAAGCTAGGGAGTATTCTGAAACTCTAGGATTTGTTGTGCAAATGTTTTCACATTTTAAAGTTTTTTCGAGCTTAACCATCTCCTCTCTCTATGCAAGGATGGGCTGGTGTGACCAAGTGGTATGCTAGGGCAAATTAATGAATGAATATTGGGGAGTGTTCAATCTATTTCCTAGGTTAGTGCCTGCAAACTAATAGCAACTTGCGATTAGTAATCCTTATCATCGAGTTTGGTCAAACCTATGTTAGGGGCATTATGGGCTAACAAATATGTATTATGATAGCTCAATTAATTGGAGTTAGTTTCTTTTTGGGGTAACCTTTGTGCTGGGTTTTTATTTTGGTCAACCATCAGGATTACTCAGGTTGAGCTTGAGGATCAAGTTTCCCTGTGAGATCTCTTAAGGTGTAAGATAATGGTGAGTCAAATAGTTAATTGATCTTAATTAGAACTAATTTGACTTGTTAGGGATAGTTAGATTATGATGGGTTAGCCCCGCATACTTATATTTTGGGTCTAGCTAAGCAAATTAGGATCTAAGACGGGTATAAAACTCAACTGGATTATGATGGGTTAGCTCATCATGTGTTGGTACAAATAGGTTCTTATTAGGTATAATATGGACTAGGTTATCTAAGTAGTTTCCTTGGGGATCAACTATGGTTAAAATAGGTTGGCATTGACCTAAATGTGGGTTTAGGTGAGTTTGAATTTAAATAAAATCAATTGATTTGAATTGAGTCAACCAAGACAAACTTATCTTGATTTTTTTGAGTCAAGTTTAAATTAAGTTTGATTTGATTGGATTAAGTTGGTTTAATTGGGTCTATGGGGCATCTTGAACTAAGGTTAGTCACGGGTTAAACTCTAGTAAAAAATTAGATCCCAATCAATTTTTTTTTTTAGATCCCAATCAATATAGTACACTAATATACATCGCACTTATCGGTATTGATGTAATCGACAAACACTATTCATTTATGATGAGGGAATATAGATCTAAGAGTAGTTAAACCAATGAATTCTAGAATTGACTAAGGGGTTGGAAAATAAGGTTTAACATATACTTAGGTGGCTAAGAAGAGAATAACAATCATTCTATGAGATTACTCATAATGAAACTAAATGGGATATACCATAATCAACTAAACTACCTATATGAAGAAGGCTCAACTTGTAACACTTATTAGATTAAATTGAAGTTAAAAATCTAATGTGTAATCTAGGATTATCATGTCTAACCAAAAGAAAGAACTTGAGAAGTAAGCCACTACTAACTAGCTAATTTAAAGGGGACAAAAGTATATCTTAAGATATATTAAGCTATCCAAAAACTAAAAAAAACTAATGAGTAGTTAAACTTGGTTAAGCAACTCAAAAAATGAGATGACATAATATCTAATTAGAATTAATTAGAAATTAGTATACCTCGCAAGTAGCTAGGATTGATTAAGGCTTCGTTTGGGACGGCTTTCTTCCTGCTTCTTAAAGTAGCTTTTTAGTACAAAAAATAAAATTTTTGTACTAGAAAGCTGCTTTCAGAAGCAGTAAGAAAGTTGTCCCAAACAAAGCCTAAGTAACTCAAAAGATGAGAATCTAAGAGACGCATTAGCACTAACTACTCAATTTAAGAGAAGAAGAATAACCTAATATCTATTAAGTTGGGAAACTTCTAAAATATCTAATGAGTAACTAGGACTGATTAGGCCAATTAAGAGATAGAAACCTAATAGGTGGAATGAGACCAACAAAACATCCCATTGGAGAAAAACTTTTATGCTAAGCTTTATCAGGTTAAAGAGAATTAGAATGTATTATAATGAACTAGGATTGGCTATTCAACTCAAAAGAATGGACTAGTAGTGGCTAGAAAATACAAAGAATAGATCCAACCTAAGTAATGTAAAGTCAATTCTCATGAATAGCTAGGATTTACTGGGCAACTCAACTGGACGAGATCTCAGTGATGGACTAGGACCAAATTTCTAGCCATATGAAGAAGACATGTAACCTAAGATCTATTAGATTACTAGAAATTAGAATGCGTATTGAGCATCAAGGATATATTAGGAAACTTAGAAGATTGAAGTTCTTGGATCAAATTAGGAATGCCTAGTTAACCTAAAGGAAAAATGTATTATTATCTAAAATCTATTAACTTGATTAAAAAGATGGAATGTATATTGATCGTTATGATCTAATTTGGAACTCGAGAGATAAAATCAAGAGGGATGGGCTAGGATTGGCTAGCCAAACCTAATGAAGGATGGTCCAACTTAAGATTTATTAGATTGATTAGAGAGTTGAAAAGCCTTAAAGCAACTAGGATATAGTCAACAAGATAAGATATAAATTCCAAAGGGAGACTACAGGAAAAACTCACATTATCAGCAATCCAGATTTGTCAAAAAATGTGTAATTCCATCGAAAAATATGCATTTATGGAGAATTTCTTGCAAAAAAGTTAGTCGACAGTAAAACATTCTTCGAAAACTTTGTTCCGGTGGATCTTTCTACCAGAAATATTTCTAGGGGAATTGTGCAACAATATTCATCATTTGCAAATCATTCGTTCCGACAATTTTATCCGCCAGAAATTTTGATGGATAAACCATCGAAAAAATCTGTTGGACACTAATCGATAGAATTTTTCAGCGAGTTATCCTCTGGAACTTTCGGCAGAATTTTTCTGTTGAAAATATAATTCATTTTCATCATGTCTCCATTTCAAGAGAAAAGCCTACTCGAAACCTGTACCAAAAATTAAAAAAACTTTTTATTGAACATTAACCAAAGAGTTTAAAATTAAACATAAAGTCTAGTAATAATCCAACAACTGAAATGTCAAGAAATAAAATGTCCAACATAGAAATGAAATGTCCAGTAATAATAATAATAATAAAAAAAATCAGAATCTGTCTCCTCCTCTGCTGATGCTGCCTACATTCCACTAAATTGTTGCCTAAATTTTTTCAGTTCATCCAACAACTGACTTTGCTACATCTACATGTCAGCTTGTGATTTTTTGAGCTTGAACAAGCTTGATTATAAGGGCATCTACCTGTTGGTTATACAACGACTCCTGGCTACTTGTTAAGAAGCTGGAGCTAGCAGATGCCTTCCCCTTGTATGTATAGGCCTGCAAGCCTAAAACATAAACCTGGTAATTTCTGGCGCATTTTCTGGTGGAAGTTACCTCTAGTTTTTGAAAAATTGATGGCTTTGCAGGCAGGTTTTTCTCCATAAACTTTATGGGAGTTTATCCACAGAAAAACCTATCGCTAAGTTACCGGTGGAATATATGTCGGACACCGCCGCTACTACCAGTGGATATAATTCCATCGAAAGTCCATCGGTATACCAAGATTTTCTTGTAGTTGGATGGATAATGATTGGCAAGCCAAATCAAAGGAATAATAGTACAACATAAGATTTCTTTGATTGATTAAACAATCATAATATTTAATGAATAACCAATATCTACTAAGTAACTCAAGAGATGGAATCCCTAGGTGTTATAGACTAGCCAACCTAGAGGAAGGCTACTACAACCTAAAATCTATTAGATTGAGAAAAAAAGTTAGAAGGTCTAAAAAATTACTAGGATTTATTAGAAAACTTAATACATATAATCCTAAGGGCTATACTAGGATTTGCTAACAAACATAAATGAAGAATGATATACCCTATGGTTTATTAGAAGATTAAAAAGCAGGAACATGTAATAAGTTCTAGGATGATAACCCAAAACAATAAATACCCTTCAACCTAAGATAAAAGCGAACCAAAAGATATAAAAT